AAAAAAAAAAAAAAAAAAAAAAAAAAAAAAAAAAAAAAAAAAAAAAAAAAAAAAAAAAAAAAAAAAAAAAAAAACAGGGGCATCAACTTGAATCACCCAAGAAATAAAAAGAAAATAGAAAATGAGGGGGAGAAAGTGAATATCATAAAAATAGCATGACTTCGATATTCGCAGGAATTAAAAAACTGGTCAGCAGCCCTGCAAAGCACCTAAAAAACACGGAAGTAATCATCAAACACAACAGTGAGCATTATATATTAATTCCAACAAGATCACGATAGCCAAAATGGGTGGATTTAACACCACACTTTCGATTCAAAGGTCCGAAATAGGAAATTCCAGTACCCCACCAACAAACTAAAGATTGGTGGGTTTCTATCTAATTAAAGTCCCTCTTCAATACATGCATCGCAAAAAGAAAAAACAAATCAAGGGCAAACATAAAAATTTCCGCCATAAACCCTAAAAAGAAGCGAAAATAGAGATCCAAAATTGTGATGATAGGATTACATAAACCAAAATCAGGGATTAGAAAACACAATGGAATAAGGCGTCCTAAATCAGAGTTCATCGGAAGTGAAAACGAATAAAAAAATAAAACAGGATATAGAAGAAGAATAAAGAACAAATGGGGAAAATAGCAATATTTATATGAGAATGTCAGTGATGGGCAAAGACCACACAAAGGACCCCAGAGAGAAAGGGAGAGAGAAAGAGAGGGAGGAAGAGAGAGGAGACAAAGACAGGGAGAGAAAACTTACTGGGATGGGTGTAAACCACACTTTAGGGTTTTGACGGATGAGAGAGAAACTGAGAAGGAGAGAGACGAAAAGGAAAAGGAAAGGGAAAAGATGAGAAAAGTGAGTGAAAAAAGAAAGCGATTATTTATTTATTTACTTGTTTATTTATACGCAGAGGCACTCAAGTCTGCCATCAAAAATTTACTAAACAAATCCTTTGTATCTTAACTTATTTACCCATTTTCTTCATTTTTTTTTTAAATTATTATTGAATTTATTATGCAATCTCTAGATGGATGGTATTTATACGACCCAAAATAATAATAATAATAATAAAGTTGTCGGAGGAAATGTAGCAGGGAAATGGAGGGGAGTGTAACACTCCAGTACTCGTTACTCATGAAGAGTAACTATGCAGCATGATCGATAAAGATGTGTGTTAACTTACAGGCACAGGACGTGTGGGACGCCATCGAGCATGGTGACGTTGAGGAGCGTAAGGACAAGATGACTCTTGCTGCCATCTATCAAGCAATTCTGGAGGACGTTATTCTCTTGTTGACAGAGAAGGACTCAGCAAAGACAACGTGGGTGCATGTGGGTGTGGAACGTGTCAAGGAAGCAAATGTGCAAACCTTGACGAGTGAGTTCAAGGCTATCTACATGAAGGACGGTGATTGAATAGACGACTTTGCCATGAAGTTGACGATGATCGTCAACGGCATCTGTTCATTAGGCGACATGGTAGAGGAGATCTCCGTTGTCAAGAAGTTCCTTCGAGCAGTTTCTGCAAGATTCATGCAGATTGTTACCTCCATCCGTGTAGTTCGACAACCTCAAGAACATGACGGTTGAGAAGATTGTTGGTCGTCTTAAGGTCCATGAGGAGAGACTTCATGGCTATGAAGACAGAGAAAAGGAAAAATATCTCTTACTCACACATGAGGAGTGACTCGCACGGACGAAAAAAGAAGATGCAAATGACTCTTCTTTTTCAGGTTGGAGCGGATGTGGCAGCAATAACAAAGAAAAAGGAAGTCATGGACGTGACCGCAGACGAGTGGTAGAGGAGGTCGTGACAATACCTTACAAACCCATGAAAATGCCAACCCTCGGAAGGATAAGAGTATGATCAAGTGTTACTTTTGTGTAAAATACAGGGATTATCGGCAGAGTGCTGCAACAAGGAACGATGTGGAGACAAACCTCATGTTCACTGGTGATGAAGAGACCACATTGATGTTGGCCAAGAAAATGGCCAACTGTTGATGCTCAAGGAAGAAAAGATTATGGTGAACCCCTTCATAGATGGAGAAGACCAAATGGAAACTAGCATGCGATACCTAGACAACGAAATGAACAACCACATGACCGAAAATCGGGCAAAGTTCAAGGAACTTGATGAGAAGTTCACTGGAAACTTGAGGCTTTACAACGGATCAATTGTACTATCCAAGGCAAATGATCTATCTTGTTCTAGTGCAAGAATGACGATCAACGTCTATTGACCAAGGTGTATTACATCTGAGTTTGAAGAGCAATATAATTAGCCTTGGTCAAATGACAAAAAAGAAGGCAGTAGAGTGGAGATAATCGGCCCGTTTCTCAAGATATACGATTGAAATGAAGCTCTATCGCAAAATCGCGTGTATAAGAGAAAAACTATCAACCTCTTCCAAAAATATCTAATGGCAATGGCACCAAAAAAGTGAAGAAGGACGTGGGTTAATAAGCTTGACTTATTAAAATAAGTTATTAACGATTTTATGATAAAGATTTAATCGTTATAGATTTGAAAGTTGAGGAGATGGATTAAAAATATTAAATGGTAAGTAAGATGGAGACCTGGCCTACATTTGATCCGACCCAAACCCAAGCATGCGCTCCAGCAACTGCCGTCCGACCTGACCAGTTGACGTGTCAGCCCAAATCTGCACGCCCCAAACCCAGACCGCATGCCCCAAGCCCATTCGCGCCAGCCCACTGTTATTTGATCGGTTCGCGCCTGATTCGTCCGGTGGTTCGACCCGATCATGACCGATTCTCGCCCAGTTCGCTTACTTACCCCGACTTTGACCGATTCAACTTCTGGTCTGACCGATTCAGCCATAATTACCGGTTCAACCTCTATATTGACCGATTCAACACTAATTAGACCGCTTTAGAGTGTATTCTTCAGAATTAGCTTGATTTAAGGGCACTTTTAAGTACATCTAAATAGGACTTATGAGTAATAGAGTAATTACGTGTATTTCATGACATTTATGAGTAACTTTATCTATCCTTATGGAGTCAAATAACTTTAGAACAAGTTTAGAGCTAATTTAGTGCGATCGAAGTAAGTTAACTTAATGATGGACTTTATATGGTAGGTTGGATGAATTGTATGATATATGATGTTTTTGCATGATCCTTTGACATAATGCTTACGATAAATATTATGTTATAATGTCCATTTTGTCTAAATGCTAGATATGATTTACGAATAACGTATTACGCTAGCCATATGGACTATCTGAAAGATTTATAGAAGAAAAATGTTTATGATATTAAATCATATTTTATTTTTAAATTATGAGACCCCGTGACATAAATGTATGGAAATATTATATTCGTGTTATGGTTCTTCCATGACTCTTTTGGGGTTTCTGCTTGCATTTAATATTTAGTGTATAGTCGATTGCACATGAAAGTGATTCATACCCAACAAGGCCTAAAGAGCACAAAAGTAATATGAGCCTATTGGATTTTTTTGTGCACGAAAGTGATGCACATGGGACTATGTATATGAAAGTAATATTAATTTTTTAACATAAAAAAACTTGAGCATAAGTTCAGTTACATATGAAAGTGGTTCATATCAATAAGGTTCAAAAATTACAAATGGTATGAGCTTCATGAATTTTGGGTATTAGCAATGTTATGAATCTTACTTGAGTCTTCATTTTTTTTTACTCCAACAATGATGTCATTTACTAGTGTTGGCTTTTTGGCATTTGATCTCACTTTAATTAATTTCAATCCATTAATTGATTAATGTTTTGATGATAACAAACCTACTTTTAATTATTAACTATTTTCAGTATTTTGAACTATCCACAGTATAAGGTCGGGAATAACGATTTCAACGACTTTTCAATTATTCAAATCAGAGCTAAAACGAAGAAATTACAGTCGAGACAACATAACCGACGTGATGATGTGACAGCAAAATCAAAATGATGGACAACTCAAAATATATCAAAGTATGACATTTATAATTTTGGAATAGTAACAAATGGTGGAGTTTTTCTTATTATTATATTTCTAAATAAAATTATTTTCACAAAATATAAATTTGAATATAACCGTTACTCACATCAATGACAACATACACGACGTGATTACGTGGCAACAAAATCAAAATGATAGACAAATCAAAATATATCAAAGTATGACCATTTATAATTTTGGAAGAGTAAGGAATGGTAGAGTTTTCTTATTATTATATTTCTAAATAAAATTATTTTTACAAAATATAAATTTGAATATAACCGTTACTCACATCAATTTTTATTATTAATATATTATATTATTATATTATAAAATTTTGGTAGTTACGCATATAGTTTTTATTATTATTATAATATTATATTTATAATAAATTTTGAATTTTCATTAAAAAATTTAAATAAATAAATTTATAAAATTTTCTTATTTATTTACTTTTAATCTCTTACCTTCCATTATTCCTAACTCAATCCAATCATTGATATTAATTCCTATATTTTGCTACTTTTCTTCTCTATATAAACTCATCAACTTCCCCCCATTTTAAAACACACAACTTTCATAAATTCTCCAATCCTCATTTGTTCAAAGTCTCCACTGTGTGGTGCTTTCTCCAAGCTTACAAGTTTATTTCTCTTCATCTTATTTTTGAGAGGGATGATTATTGTATTGTGAGGAAATAGTTGTGAGTGTTTCAAATTGTAAATCTACTCTTTGAGAGAGTTTGTTACTATCAAACTCAAATATTTGTATCGGTTTGACCCTGCGCCGTGGAAAGGATTGAATTTTCTCTTGAACTCGTAAAAAGAGCAGGGGTAGCAGTTTGGCTCTGATCCGTAGAAAGAGTCGAGAAAGTTCTTTATTCAAATCTCTAAGAGGCGCTTGGGGAGTGAAATAGGTCGAGTTTGACCGAACCACTATAAAACTATGGTGTCATTTTCCCTAACTCTTTCCTATTTAATTTCAAAACTATTATTGTGATTTATTGCATGTTCTACTCGATTGTTGTTTTAACTTGAATTATTTTGTTCTAGTAATTATCATATTCTACTTTTTTGTAAAAAATTTCATCATTAGAAAAATTAATCACGTTTAAACACTTTTATCGTTAAAACCCTATTCACCCCTCTCTAGGATTGCCATACCGATCCAACAACTAGGTATGTTATAAATACTTAGTGGTTTCCGTGGTTGACAACATTTGATGTATGGTTTTCCGTAGATTTTGAGCATGTTTTCTTCGAGATCTCAAATTTAAATTAAGCATCTTTTCTACATTTGCACTTAGAATTCATAAATTCCACATGTTTACCATTTCAAAAATTTAGAGGGTCATCATATGCATGTGATAGCAACTCAATTCACACCTATATTAGCTTTATGCCAAGAACTTGTGTAAAAGTTGATACGAGCATAATTGATTGAATCAACAATTAGCACAAACTATTGTGTAGCTTAAGAGAATTTAATCAAAGATGTTTCGAATTAAAACCCAAAACTCATCGCTTCCTCCTCATCTATAGGGATAAAATGGTGCCAACAGTTCATCATGGAAGAAATGACTTACTGAGCCAAGATCACTAACTAATACTAATCTAATATTAATAAAATAGAAAATAAGTACCTTTCTCTAGTTCCATTACTATCACGTGCTTTACATAACAATTAGATCATATAGATATCCCTTCAACACACATCCGTCATCGAAAGAATCTCGGAAACTCAACAATTGGATTCCAATC